CGCGTGGGCTCGCCGGGCTCGCCGGGCTCGCGCGCCGCCTCTGTCGCCCCCATTTCCGCTGCATCCTTCATCGCGTCCGCGCCGGTACCCCCCACCCACCTCCCCGCCACCTCCACCTCCCCCACCCCTCAGCCACCCTCCCCGCAAGCGCCGGGTCCCAGCGGGCTGCAGGTGGAGCTGGGTTTCGGGCCAGCCTCCGGGCCAGCCGCGCTGGAGGCCGGGAGGAGCAAGGGACGCTGTCACCCCGCTGTGCCCGCTGCACCGGGTTCGGATGGGGCTCGGGCCTGGGGTGAGACGCGGTTCTCCCCGCGGGATCCCGGGCCCCAGAGCCTGAGCCCGCCCTTGCCCTGGCGGCCGCCTGGCTGCACCCAACCGAAGCCTTTAACCCTCTCGGCGTCTGCTCCAGCACCGGGCGGTGGCCCTGGGGACCCCAGGTCACATCAGAGACGCCAGGCAGAGGGGCGGGGGCCCAAGGCGGCAGCCCGGTCTGCTCCGCGGGGTCTGCTCCAGGCGGAGCCCAGGGCTCTGCACCCCGAGCCGCACCCCTTCGGTTCACCCGGGAGGGGCTCGCTGAGCTGCCAGGCTGGCCCCCCACATTTTTCATTCTCTGCCTCGGCCTCTTGGTTAGCTGCGGTTCCTGGCACACACGCCACGAATGACATCCATTCCTTCGCATCCTGAACCTAAATCTCTATGACGATTCCCATCCGACCCTTGCAGTGACCAACGTTAGGAGGCTTGGCTTCTGCCCCACTCTCCTGCAGGCTTTCTTCCGGGTGTGTGGCGTCCCCAGGCCCAAAGGCCCCCTGTTCCCGAGGACACCATCCCGTTGCGCGAGGTCCCGCCCCTGTGGTCTTGATTATCTGCAAGGAAATTGTGTCTCCGAGGAGAGCTACATTTCTAGGTTCTGGGGGTTGGGACTGCAGCATCTTTTGGGGAAACAAAATTTAGGCCACATGAGTGTGCACTGGAGAAACTGAGCGGAGGGGAGGACCTGGGCAGACAGCTGGACACAGGCGCGCTGGGCTGGCTGAGGGGAAGGCTAGCCAGTTCCGGGTGAGATCCGAATGGAGGTGTGGGTGGAGGTCATTTGTGACTAAGGGACAGGCAAGACAGAAGAACTGAGCTCCTGGCAGAAGGGAGCAGGGTCCCAGGGTGTCCAGAATGCACACTGCCGCATTCTATCAAAAACGGAAGAGAGGCCCCCTAAGGGTCCAAACACAAAGACGAGATAACCGCTAAGGCTCCGGAAACGCTAATCACTCCACTTTGATCGTGACACATTCCAGGCGGTATGCTAATACCATGCTGCGCCCTATAAATAGGCAAAATTTAAAACAACTGAACGACAGAGCAAGGTGACTAGAAGACTTTTGGGCCAGTGCGGCTGGCCCCCGCTGTGATCCCAACCCTGTGGGAGGCTGCGGCAATGAGGGAGGAGCGCCGAGCCTCCCACTGCTGTCCACCTCGGCTGAGCCCCTCAGCTGAGGTAACCAAGGAAACAGCCAGGCACCAGGAGGCTGCCCTAGCCCCCTTCTGGGACCAGAGCCACCTTCCTGGATAAACCTGAGCGAGGACCGGGGTGCGCAGGGCTGAACACAGGAGAGAAGGATGGCTTCGCTTACTAAACAAGGCAAGTCCCTGGCCTGCTCAGGGGCTTTGTGACCAGAGCCACCCACCCCGGCCCCGTCACCAACTGCAGGTTTGACTGTTGTAGTCTTGGACACTGTGACAGCTCTTCCAAGGACAGGACAGGTCCCAGCTCCACCGCTGGAGGGGCTGAGTCGGGCAAGGTAGCAGTCACAGCTCAGACCAGACGAGGCGTGGAGCCCTCAGGGCCGAGTCCCGTGCGCTTTGAGCACTTTTCCCTGGCTGCCACCCTGTGGAGTGGATCTTGTCTTTTCTTTGTCACATAATCCATGGCCCTGCCGCTGCTCTGGGGAATTGGGCTCAGTTCTAGGTTTCGGTTTCAGGAACCTGGGCAGGACCCATCCCAGTAACGGTAGCAGGGCTGCAAGTTCAAGACCAGCCTGGGCAACTGAGAGACTTAGCAAGACCCCTCTCAGAATTAAAAAGATAAAAAAAGGGTTGGAGATGTAGTTCCAGCAAAGACTCTGGGTTCAATGCCCAGTCCTTTGGTGCTGCCAAAAACAACAGCCCTGGGCAAGAGGAGGAAGACGGGCTTCACTTAAGGGTACAATGCCTAGTGGCAAATAATATACACATGTTGGAGATGGGCTGCACAGGGCCCAGTTGCTGCACACAGGAATCTCTGGCTGTGCTGGAAAGGAACATATGCACGGTGTCCTGAAGTCAGGATAGCCACAGCTGAGGCAGCGGAGGAAGTGGGCTGCTGACACCCCCATTCCAGAGCAATAAAACTGTCAGCCTTAGAGATAAGACAATTCTCTTCATTAGCAAAATTTATTATCTGGAAAAGTCTCTTTTTCATTATTATTTTAGGAAAGGGTCTACAGGGTGCTCAAGATCTCACTACTAGATTGGACTCGTAGTGATCCACCTGTTTACAGCCTCCCAAGAGTTGGGATTACAGGCACATGCCACCATGCCCAGTCTCAATTGCCATCTCAGTGCGTCCCAGGGGTGGGGCCAGCACAGCAGGCCTGGGGATGAAACCCCCGCCCCTGCGCCTACTTGCAGGTGCTTGAATCCACTGAGCTATTTGGCCAGCCCTTGGAAACGTCTTTGATCTGACTCCGAGTCCTCTCAGTTCCTGTCTTGCCTCAGTATCCTCTTCCTTTGTTTCAAAACCAAATCAATACAGGATGCCCTGAGTTCTTTGCCTCAACCCCCAGGGAATCCTGAATTCTGATACCAGGGATTGAACTCTGGACCTTGTGTTTGCTAAGCAGGTGCTTATACCACTGAGCTATCTCCCCAGCCTTGAATTCTGTTAGAGGTGTTTTGTCTTGTTTTGTCTCGAGACATGGTTTCACTATGCAGTACAGGCTGGCCCTGTGCTCACTTCTGTAGCCCCTGGGCTGGTCTCAAACTCCAGCGATCTTCCTGTCTTCAACCTCCTGAGTGCTGAGATTACAGGTGTGTACAACCACGCCTGGTTCCAGGGCAGCACAGCATGTGGGTCCAGGGATCAAACTCAGGTCCTTGTGTTTGCCAGGTGGGTACTTATGCCTTTGCGCTATCTCCCCAGCCTCTGTCAGAGAAATTTGATCTCCCTGGAGCACTAACATCGTATCACTTGCCTCTTTTGTCTGCCACTCATTTAGGAAATTAGGGCTAGGCCAACCCCCCAATACATGTGAACGTGCTATAAATAAACTGCTGTAAATGTAAATTGTTATCATTAGTGTTTTTCTCTCTAGTATACCTATTCTTCTAACTCTGAATTCTAATCCTGTGTGTCCTAACTCCCTGCTGTTCTCTGGTCTTTTGGTCTTTACCTGCCGGTCGATCTCCTGCCACCTGCTAGCTGATGCTTCTGGTCCGCCCGCCTAGCTCTGTGCCACCCTCACTGGGGTGGCATTTCTGGATCTGGGAATATGCTCTGCCCAAACTCATAGCCCTCACTTGCATTCTGTCACCTCAGTGCTCCTGGATTGCTGATCCCATGGTGTAGGGATATAGATTTGAGACAAAAGCCTGATGTCCGAAGAGAGCAGGGAACACTGGACTGAGCCCGAGGAGGGTTGCTATCTGTTTGCAAATTCCCGGAAAGCTGGGGCCCAAGGAAGCAGATAACAGCTTCTCCTGCAGGCGCCCTGTCCTTTGATCCCTTGCTTGGGATGTTATGGGCTAGCATTTGTGTGAACCTAGTGTTAGGCAAATGGTGGAAGTCAATAGAGACAGTAGTTTGCATTCACTTAGGTAATTATGCACAGTCCTTAGTCTGCCTTTACCCCTCAATAAATGTGAGGTGCTTCTGAGGCTCTGGGCTCACTTGGAGAGAGACTAATCTCAGTGAGACCTCTGAAGCTACATCCATCAGGTCTTCTCGTCGTTTCTTTCAGCACCAACCCATAACATACAACACCACGGTACACACTCGGCTTCCCCCGTGTTGCCAACATCCATGGATGATGAAAAGCACTTAGGATTCAGTGACCCTGCGGTTCTTGCCCCGGGTAAGCCACCTAGTCCAGGCAAGCCTTTAAAAAATAAAATACATGAACTTTTCATTTTAGCACAACTTTAGATGTACACAAAAATTGCGCAGATAATAGAATTCCTACCGATTCTGCATCCAGGCCCCCATTATTCACCTTAGTCGGGTACTCTTGTTGCATGACCAAAAGTGATGCCTCTTTTATTCGGGTCTCCTTGCTGTTAGCTCTGGTCTCCTCCTGTTCCAGAGCCTGCCCTGGAGCTCTCAGCATGGTTGGTGGGCGAGGCTCTTTAAGGTCCTCCAGGCAGACAGTTCTAAGACTCCTTGCTTTGGGACAGTTCTGAGATGCACAAGTCAGTGTGCCCTAGGGTGTTTCTCCACTGGGATTTCTCTTGAGTGCCATTTTTGTGACATCAGGACACCATGCCATGAGAGTGATTTGTCACTGTTCCTGTTGACCTTGATCACAGGCCCAGGGAGTGCTTAGCAAGCACCTGCATTATAAAGCTGTTTGTTCCCTCCATGGGTTACACTGTGTCCCTCCTCAGGTTTGTACATTAAAGTCCAGCTCCTGGGCCTTTGGGGAACAGAGCTGTGGTGGGAGAAGGCTCATTGAGTTAAATGAGGCCAGCTGGGCCTTCTGTCGCTATGAGCGGCGTCCTTATGATGAAATGAGTGCGGGGGACAGGGAAGACACAGGAAGAAAGCGACCATGCGCCAGCCAGGTGGAGAGGCCCACAAGGCCAGCCCTCTCCTCCCTGCATGTTTGACTTCACTTCTGTTCTTTAAGCCACCCTGTCTGGGGCAGGTTGTGGCAGCCCTGAAATTAATACTGCCTTCTCCATTTCCACACTCTTCTCTTTGTTGTGAGAGAGGGTCTTGCTCTGTTGTTTGGGCTGGCCTTGACTGTACTGGGCAGCCCTGCTGGCCTCCAGCTGGAAGCTCTCCTGTCTCAGCCTCCCAAATGCTGAGCTTATAGGCATGCCCCACCAGACCTCACTCAGGTCTTATGTTTTTCATTCTGTGCTCCAAGAACGGAGCATGGCATGAAATGAGTGATCGTGGGACTGGTGGAAGAAGCAAGGACGGCGTGTGGGACCTCAACATTCACAAAGTGCACATCAAACACAGCACGTCAGAGGCCTGGGGGCCAAAGGAAAGGGCTGAGAACAGAGTCCTGCTGACTTATACCACAGATCAAGGGTAAAAGATGTGTCCATGAGTCCATAATGGATCTAAGGAAGTCAGTGAATGAATGTGTGAGGGAGAGGAGACAAATCTCCTACAAGAATGTCAAATAATTTAAGTGTGATATTTGTGGAGGTGGAGCCTGACTT